CCCCCCCCCCCTATTCTTTACTTCATGCATCCTTCATCAACCTTTGTTCTTTTCCGCTAAATATTAATTTTAAAAATATGAAAACCTCCCCCCCCCTTCATCCAGACTTCTAATTGCGCCTTCCATCATATATTCATTTATCATGAAGCTAGGGAAGGATTGGAGTGATAACTCGCCTACTCAATGAGGTACCTGGAGTTTCGTGAATCATAAATGTTTTGGTCGAATGATACAACATCTTTTCTTCTTTTCTATACTCAAGAAGGTTTTGAAACGGATAGGGAGGAATGAAAAAATGTTCAAGTCCAGCCCACCAAATAACCGAATAATTATCCCTTTTTAAAGGAAGTAGGTTGTTTGTCAATATGCAATTGGAAACTTATATTAATGATATTTTACTTAATTTTACAACGCTCAAATTTAGAGAATAAATGAGATTGATGTTTTAGAATCATTCATTACTCAAGTGTTTCAGACGCTAGACAGGTATAGAAATAGACAGATTGAGTGATAGCTAGACAGATAGACAGATAAAAGAAATACAGATAGACAGATAAAAGAAATACAGATAGACAGATACAAGAAAGACAGAAAGACAGATAGAATGATAGGCATATAGAAATTTAAACAGTTAGACAGATAGACAGATTGACATTTAGACAGATGAAAAGAAATACAGATAGACGTATAGACAGCTAGTCATGGGAAAACAGCATATCTAACATATTTTGAATGATAAATAATAAAATAAGATAATGTGTATTATTAAATCAACTAAAAAGATATTATGTAAATATCCCTGTAATGCTCTATCGCCTTAAAACCTCTTGACTTTTTCAATAAAGCAATTTATAAAATTTTATTTTATATAGTTTTCTTCATGATAATTGGACAAGATTGGTGATTGGGAAATTTTAATTATTCAATTTAATATGACTTGTCTATATACAAGCAAAATGTTATTTTAAAATTTAAAAAAAAATAAAGTTAACATTTTGACACACATATTGCCATTTTTAAAAACCATCTTAGGGCGATTAAAGTTGGAGTTATATCAAGGAACTGAATTCTGTCAGATCAAGTAATCAAAGTTTGAAATATCAAAGATTTACACCATTATGTTGCAACGACAAAGAAAAAATTAGTTTGTGTGCTATAATTTTCAGTTTCTTTCCACCCCCCCCCCCTGCCACGCCTTTTCAGAGTTATTTCTTTTCAAGAGTTTCATGTTTAAGCGCTTAAAATCTAATTGTTTAATTAGATATTTATAAAATAATTTCCTCCAAATTATCAAAAGTTCTTTGTTTTCCACCTAAATCATTTATTTTTTTTCATCTAATCATTAAAACATTTAAAATAAAACCTTTCTTTAATGTAACAAATAACACTTTTACAAAAAAAAGTTCCTAACCACTATTTTTTTTAAATGTGAAACGAAATCGGCTTATCTACACCTCATATTTTAGTTTAACAGATGTTTTCTATACTTTTGTTTTAAAATAATTTTTGCATTTTTGAAGAACACATTAGGGACACTTAGGTTTTACTTACTACGCGCTTTCCAACCAATATATTATTAAATAATCAAAGGTTTGCACCATCACAATGCAAAGAAAATTTAAGGTCTGGTAGAGGGTGTAAATCCTTGATGTCTGATTGGACAGAAGAAATTAATGTTTACTATGAAGATGAATTACAGTCAAATATATTTATTCCCACCGATCTACCTTAGTCTGTATATAAAACTTTATTTCATTCATTACAGTTTATCAAATAACAATTGGGGCCTGATGCAGCACTAAATGACATCTTTAATTTATTTTATTTAATGTCAAGTATTAACAAGCATTACAGGTCGTCAATGTTTATTGATAAAAATATCCCGTTTATTTTAAACATATTATAGCTCAATTTTAATCTATAAAACTTCAAATCTTTCATTTCTATAGGGTGGACCTGGATACTATAGATACATCCCATATCTCTGTATCATAAATTGTGCCGGATACTATAGATCCATCCTATATCTCTGTTCATATAGATACATTCTACATCTCTGTATCCTAGGGTATCCTGGATACTATAGATGCATACATCTTACATCCCTGTATCCTAGGGTGGACCTGGATACTATAGACACATCCTACATATCTGTATCATAGGATGTACCTTGATACTATAGATACATCCTACATCCCTGTATCCTAGGGTGGACCTGGATACTATAGATACATCCTACATATATGTATCCTAGGGTGTACCTGGATACTATAGATACATCCTACATATTTGTATCCTAGGGTAAACCTGGATACTATAGACACATCCTATATATCTGTATCCTAGGGTGAACTTGGATACTATAGATACATCCTTCACATATGTATCCTAGGGTGGACTTGGATACTATAGATAAATCTTTCACATATGTATCCTAGGTGGACCTGGATACTACAGATACAACCTACATATATGTATCCTAGGGTGGACCTGGATACTGATGAATTATAAACAATTAGTGATCTGGAGGAAGCATGGATTAAACTAGAGGGAGTGAGCAAATACCAGGGGTTTTAATCTTCACAAACATCGGGAACTATGAAAATTATGCCGAAGTCAATATTTACAAAGATAAAATATAACTTTGAGAAAATAAATAAATCTTTAGTGAAGAATTGTCGGATAGAGAGGAGAAGTAGGTTTGCAGGACCAGGAGAACAATAATTGATTCTGATTTCCTACACAAGCAGGGTTTAATGATGAAAAGGAGAAAAACCTTGTATAAACAGGACCTCAGCAGGGCTTAATGATGAACAGGAGATAACTCTGTATAAACAGGACCTCAGCAGGGTTTACTGAAGAACAGGAGAGAAGCCTGTATAAACAGGACCTCAGCAGAGTTTACTGAAGAACAGGAGAGAACTCTGTATAAACAGGACCTCAGCAGGGTTTACTGAAGAACAGGAGAGAAGCCTGTATAAACAGGACCTCAGCAGAGTTTACTGATGAACAGGAGAGAAGCCTGTATAAACAGGACCTCAGCAGGGTTTAATGATGAACAGGAGAGAAGCCTGTATAAACAAGACCTCAGCAGGGTTTAATGATGAACAGGAGAGAAGCCTGTATAAACAGGACCTCAGCAGGGTTTAATGATGAACAGGAGAGAACCCTGTATAAACAGGACCTCTGCAGGGTTTACTGATGAACAGGATAGAAACCTTATATACAGATGATATGAGCAGGGTTTAATGCTAAACAGGAGTAGAATATGGAACCATGTATAAACAGGCGTAGAATATGGAACCATGTATAAACAGGAGTAGAATATGGAACCATGTATAAACAGGAGTAGAATATGAACCTCTGTATAAACAGGATTAAAATATGGAACCATGTATAAACAGGAGTAGAATATGAACCTCTGTATAAACAGGATTAGAATATGGAGCCATGTATAAACAGAAGATGAATATGGAACCATGTATAAACAGTAGTATAATATGGAACCCTGTGTAAACAGGAGTAGAATATGGAACCATGTATAAACAGGGGTAGAATATGGAACTCTATATAAGCAGGAGTAGAATATGGAACCATGTATAAACAGGAGTAGAATATGGAACTCTATATAAACAGGAGTAGAATATGGAACCATATATGAACAGGAGTAGAATATGGAACCCTATATAAACAGGAGTAGATTATGGAACTTTATAAACAGGAGTGGTGTTTTGTGGAGTTAGGGTTCTGGATCCAGACTTAGAATACTCCGGAATAAGGTTTATTGAAGATTTAAATCCGTACTGGATCAGGATAAATAAAAGGTTAATAGTAACCTTAAACCCGTCCTTGCTCAGGTTTAAGATTAAATATCCTGAAGGTTCTAGTCTAACTGATAATGGTTCATAAATTCCGGTGATAGTATAGATACATAATATGAATTAACCCTTAAAAGTATTGTTGAATGATTACTACGTAATGACGACTTTTACCGACAAATAATTTTAGTACGCGGTATATATGCGTCTTTGTTAAAACCCTCGAGTCAGGGCCGGGTTCAATTATTCTATACAAAGTCAAATTCCGATCCGTTGAAAATGGTTTAAAATGAGGATCGGTTTGAGTTAAGATCGAAGTCTCATCAGATATTGTAGAGATACTTGAGGTATAAAAATTTAAGGGTATAATATTGAGTTTCAGTACGAGAACTTGAAGGGTTAGATTTCTTTTCATACTCCCCCGTCATACGTCTCCTTCCGGATAGCAGAGGGACAGGCCTATGGGGGAACTGAGCTATTGATTCGCCCTACATACAGATTTTATTTATTTACCCTATATGTTTTATTTGTGATTAGTTTTATCGTTCATACACATTCTTTGAATACTTATGATTTTAAATATTGTAATAGTATTTTTTACTTTTATAGAATAAACGCTGCATAGAACTCTGTCTTCATTAGTTCAGTTTCTGTTATATTCTTCTCTACACGATGACTTCAAGGTAGTTCTATTGGATGATCAGAAACGTGTATCTCTAAGGTTTCTCGATATTCGTCGTCGCCGATTTGTGACGAAACAAGTGGAATATGGAACCCTGTAAAAACACCAGTTAAATATGGAACCATGTATACACAGAAGTAAAAGCGTGATAAAATTCTTATGTAAAATTTGATTGCTAACCTTTTTCCAGAATTTTGCATTTTTTGTTTTCAATTCAACGACTTTACTATAAATAGATGAATTCGCTATACAATGGTATTACTACTGGCTTATACAATAGTTTCTTAACTATATTCATTATTCAATATTCGTTGGTATACATTACAGACACGGTAAACCCATTAGGTATTAGTGGAAATCACTTTTTACTGGTTAAAAGATGGCTTAACAGCCAGGGTATGCAAATTGTGGTTGAAGAGAGGGAAGGGGGCCATACTTAAGAAATAATCAATTTTACTACTCTAAAAATAGTAAGGTTTTCAATTATGAAACATACAAAAAAAAACCTAAAAAAACGACCTTCTACAAAAAGTGTGAGTTATCACCNCTATCCCCCCCCCCCCCTAAACTGCATGGTCTCTGAAACGCCCCTAACCTTCCCCCTCTGTTTGTGACAACCCTGAGTTAGGAGGAGAAGCATCATAAAGGATTCTTTTCCCTGTAATTATTGAGGATGTAGAGAATAGAAGAATTCCAGTACAGGCAATTATACAACCTGGGCGGCCACCTTACTCAGGGTATACCTAGATACCTTACTCTTTACTCAGGGCATACCTAGATACTTTACTCTTTACTCAGTGTATACTTTGATACCTTGCTCTTTACTCAGGGTATACCTAGATACCTTACTCTTTACTCAGTGTATACTTAGATACCTTACTCTTTACTCAGGGTATACCTAGATACCTTACTCTTTACTCAGTGTATACTTAGATACCTTACTCTTTACTCAGTGTATACTTAGATACCTTACTCTTTACTCAGGGTATACCTTGATACCTTACTCTTTACTCAGGGTATACTTAGATACCTTACTCTTTACTTAGGGTATACCTAGATACCTTACTCTTTACTCAGGGTATACCTAGATACCTTAATCTTAATTCAGGGTATTCCTTGATACCTTACTCTTTACTAAGGGTATACCTTGATACCTTAATCTTAATTCAGGGTATTCCTTGATATCTTACTCTTTACTTAGGGTATACCTAGATACCTTACTCTTTACTCAGGGTATACCTAGATACCTTACTCTTAACTTAGGGTATACCAAGATACCTTACTCTTTACTCAGGGTATACCTAGATACCTTACTCTTTACTCAGGGTTACCTAGATACCTTACTCTTTACTCAGGGTATACCTAGATACCTTACTCTTAACTCAGGGTAAACCTAGATACCTTACTCTTAACTCAGGGTATACCTAGATACCTTAATCTTAACTCAGGGTATACCTAGCTTGGTAAGTTGATACCTTTTTCTTTCTTCATACTTTAGAAGGGGGTAGGAAGGGGAGGGGAGTTGGTTGGAAAGGGGGGGGATAGAAAATATGGATGGGAGGATAAGGGTTAAGAGGAAGGAAGGGGTTGGCTTGAATAATTAATCTACTAATGATAAATATCACACAAATCAGCACTATACCAATTATAATCATTAACTCCGAATAATCTGCATCCTAAAATAAAAGGGAGAGTACGCAAATATCAAAAAGAATCAAATAATTCAATTTGAAATGACCCTTTATTTAAAGTGACCATTTACACCTATATCTGAGTAACTAACAATGAAATATTTGTTTTTCAATCTTAACAATTGATGCATTCTGGCATTTTCTTCTTGTTTCTGTTGCATAAATCTGCAAATCACTTTTACAGATAAATAACATTAGAAAATAGTCAACTTTCCGCTTTAAAACAATTTTTCATAAATACTTGATCAGACAAAGGTTTAAAAGGTACAGTAGTGAATAGGACATGCTACTCTATTAATGGAAGAACAATTAAAATCCCGTTTAGTTGAGTGAGTCTTTTCCGAATCGATTGAAGCGTAGAACTCAATTAGCTTTCTAACTATAACATCTATATATAAATTTGGCTTGTCTGTCTGTTTGTCTGTTTGGGTGTCAGGGTGAATGATAAAAATTTAAAAAATGTGTTTTAAAGGTTTTTAATTTTGTACAAAAATTTAAATTCTTGAAAATCCGCGAAATTTTTTTCTTCTTTGTTTTAACATGTAAACAAAAAGAACATGTTCACAATTTAAATAAAAGATGGGCGCGAAGCGCCCTAAAAGCCTAGTTATTTTAAATATACCTTATCAGATACTTAAAGACACCATAATTGATAAATATGTTTTTACAATTTTTTTTTTAATTTACATATTTTAATATATAAGTTCCAAACTTGTTACACTTTAAGATTATGTCCTTTTTATTTTAAAATCTATAAATTTTAATTATTTCTAAATTAGATAATTAAAGAAGGTAAGCCCAGATAAAATTGATGTAATTAGTCCAGGTTGATGAGGTTTCAATTTAATGAAGAGAAATTATAAAAATCGATAAATTCAAGAAAAGTCGGAAAAAGGGCTGGATAGTTTTTGAAGATTAATGTCAAAGTTTTTTTCGGTTTCATTGCTAAACCATTTATACTTTCTGCAGCCTTGGATAGGATGATTTCAAAGCTCTAAACCATGAAACCTAGTGATTTATCTTTTAATTATGTACTGTATAGTACTGTACTGTATAGTACTGTACTGTATAGTACTGTACTGTATAGTACTGTACTGTATAGTACTGTACTGTATAGTACTGCACTGTATAGTACTGTACAAAACATCTTTTATTGCATGGCAGTCGGCTCAACGAAACATCTGGATAACATTTTTTGTTCGAATTAGGAACGTGAGGTAATAAAGGTATAAGAAAATATTATATTAATTGTAAATCTCTATCTCTCTATCTGCAGATTTTTGGAGCGTTCAACCAAAACTTTTAATTTGTTTTTATTAAAGAAATACAAAATGTAATTTTAATTCATTGACTTTAGATTGTTTTACATCTTACTTGGTTTGAAAATTCTTCTAAATTTGAATGTTATCAGGTCGAATTAGACAGTTGTTAGTGATGGATTCCATCTTTATACATATTTGTCCAATTTTGTTTGGTATCCAATAAGCGTAAAACGGCTAAACTAATCGGGCTCATTTTTTTGCGATATCCGCCAGGAACCGCCATATCTGATGCGTCAAATCTGTGTACCGCAGTGGGAGGAGATCAAAACAAAGAATTCAGGGGCAACGTATCATTTTTGAGGGAAAAGGGCCCAAGGGGTGGAATAAAAATATTTGTATTTTCCATATTGACCAGAAAGCCAAAAATCATATGTATTCGCTCTAACTTGATATATTAACTTGTTTTTTGTTGGACTGTAATATCACATCAGAGTTCTAGTCATCTCCCTTCAACTTCTGTGGGGGTACTGGGTTTGTTTACATTACTCCCACAGTGTACAGTACATAATATGCGTATATCTGAGTTGGGCGTTCCTGTATGTAGTTCCTTGTATCTCACAAGGTTTACACCAGATCCGAATTTCAGGATGTAACTTTAAAAAAATGTAATTTTCAAAATCTAATACATTCGCAACTTAAATTTATGATATCTATACGCAAAAAAAACAGGAAACTGGTCGCCATTTTGTATATTTACGTCCGTGTATGTTGAAGAAATTTTACCTAAACATTGGGTTTAAAGAGTTTAAAGGGACTGTAATCGTAATTTCAAGTGACAATTCATGCAAAGAGGGGAGTGCGCGATTTACAACGGTTCCCTTTAAAACTTAGACTGTTCATCGAGGGCAGAGAACTCCGTGTGTTTATATATAAAATGGTGTTCAAATTATCTAAAAACTGAACCTCCTGTTATTCCAGGTCCAACGAGGGTTTCCTAAATTAAAATATTTAATATTTATTTTCTGCGACTTCTAGAACGTAAATGTAAATAACTCTTTAGTATAAATCATCTTGCAGCCCAAGGTATGAACAATTACAAGTGTTTCTGTTAATAAGGATAAGTTTTTCATCCATTATGAGTCAAAGGCATAAAGTTTACTGTTGTTAATCGGGCGCACCACTCTACAAATTGTGGAGTGGTGACCTAAAATTACGCATACAGTCCCTTTAAAAGGCTCGGAGCGTCTTGAATTTCTGATTACATCTATATTTAACTGTATTGTAATGTGGCGTGCGTGTGAACCATTGATCTATTGAAGAACGCGCGTGAACAGGAGAAGATAAGAGAAGATTAAAAAAACCTAAACTAAGTCCCGTCCTTATCCCTGCCACCAACCAGTAATTTATCGGCTCAACAATCCCAAATTTGCATTCGGATGAAAAGAATTTTGATTCAAGTTTTGAGAATTTAGGTTTCGGGTCGGTAAATAGTCGTTACATAGTTCCCACACCTACTGTAACCTACAGACAAGATCAATTAGGTTTTTATACTGAACCTAGAGCTGTAATATTCAGTTCACAAATATACAGATTTGCAATTTTACCAGTTGTCAGCTTTTTAAACCATTCCGTTTTCCTCTTTAGGCTTGACCTATCTTCCATCTCCCAATATTACATATTACTTCCATTATTCTCTCTCACACCTTTCTTTCTTTTATTTTCTATCAGTTATAACTGACACCTCTTTATCCATAAAACCATTTATATCCTTTTTCTGTCCCCTCAATTCTTAAAGGGCCAGTGAATCCCTTTTTTTCCTTCCCCTTTTCGTCTATTCTTGCTCCTCCCATCCCTTTTTTATCTTCTTTTACCCCCTTCTAACCACTCCACTCCCTTCTTCCATCTTTTCTAAATCTTCTTTTATCTCCTCTCTTCTAACCACTCCACCCCCTTCCTCAATCTTTTCTAAATCTACTTTTATCNAAGATACATGAATATATAATCTCTAGGTCTGCTGGAGAACTTTAAGATACATGAATATATAATCTCTAGGTCTGCTGGAGAACTTTAAGATACATGAATATATAATCTCTAGGTCTGCTGGAGAACTTTAAGATACATGAATATATAATCTCTAGGTCTGCTGGAGAACTTTAAGATACATGAATATATAATCTCTAGGTCTGCTGGAGAACTTTAAGATACATGAATATATAATCTCTAGGTCTGCTGGAGAACTTTAAGATACATGAATATATAATCTCTAGGTCTGCTGGAGAACTTTAAGATACATGAATATATAATCTCTAGGTCTGCTGGAGAACTGTAAGATACATGAATATATAATCTCTAGGTCTGCTGGAAAACTGTAAGATACTTGACTTAAATATATAATCTCTAGGTCTGCTGGAGAACTGTAAGATACATGAATATACAATCTCTAGGTCTGCTGGAGAACTTTAAGATACATGAATATATAATCTCTAGGTCTGCTGGAAAACTGTAAGATACATGAAAATATAATTTCTAGGTCTGCTGGAGAACTGTAAGATACATGAAAATATAATCTCTAGGTCTGCTAGAAAACTGTAAGTTACATTAATATATAATCTCTAGGTCTGCTGGAGAACTGTAAGATACTTGGCTTGAATACTAGAGAACTCCCAAACTCCGGATCTGATCTTGTGAGAACCTGCAACGGTCATGTGAAACCACGCTCCATATCCAATCCAACCGGAGCAGGATCAAGACTCACAGGTTCATGTGCATGTGAAACCACGCTCCAGTTGGATNTGAAACCACGCTCCAAATCAAATCCAACTGGAGCAGGATCAAGACTCACAGGTTCATGTGCATGTGAAAACACGCTCCAAACTGAATCCAACCGGAGCTGGATTAAGACTAACAGGTTCATGGACATGTGAAACTACGCTCAAGATCCAATCCAACCGGAGCAAGATCATGACTCACAGGTTCATGCTCAAAATCCAACTTAAACAGAAACAGGGCCCACAGGTTATTGTATATGTAAAATCACGCTCTAAGTCCAATCCCACAGGAGCAGGATTAAGACTAACAGGTTCATGGACATGTGGAACCACCCTCCAAATCTATTCCAACCGGAGAAGAAACAAGTCTCACAGGTTTATGTACATATGAAACCTAATTTCAAATTCCAACTGGAGCAGAAACAAGATTCACAGGTTCATAACACCTGTGGAAGCTGAATTTTAAATAAGAATTAAAAATGCCCCAAAAAACTGAAAATACAGAATTCAAAGTTAAAGTTTAAGATCGAATTTTTGTTAAAACCATCGAAACAAACAGTAAAGCCGGTTAGGCCTGAAATGAACTCAAACCTTAGAGTCCTGTTAGGCCTGAGTTCTACTCAAAGCTATCAATCCAACTAAACCTGAAATTTACTCAAACCTGTAAATCTTGTTGAACCTGAAACGTTCTCAAACCTGTGAGCCCTATTAAGCCTGAAATATTTTCAACCCTTACAGCCTGTTAAGGAGGAAATGTGCTCAAACCTGTGAGGCCTGTCAAACCTGAACTGTGCTTAAACTTCTGTTTCAAGATAAACTTGAAATGTGCCTAAACCTGTAAATCTTCTTAAGCCTTAAATGTACTGCAACCTGTGAATCCTGATTTGAAAGATTAAATCTAAGCACACTTCCTTTTCATTCTAAACATTACACGGCGATAGACAAACAATTACACACTGCAGTTGTAAACCAAAACTTCAACAACGGGGCCTAAGGAACAAAAAATTCAACAAAATAAAATAATCTTGGTTTACAAATACCCCCCCCCCTCCCCCTCCTCTCTCTTCTTTGTATTGAGAACTATTGAGCTTGTGCCATTTTAGAACAAATATCATATTCCAGGGAAAATTGAAAAAATGCTAAATTTGTATTTTTTAAATTTCACATTTCATCGATGGCAGCTCAAAAAAAAAAATGCTAAAACTTTGTTTTTAAAATATTTTTTTTTGAAAGTTTCATTTTTCTATCTCTATCTAAAGCAGACATTATTGGAAAAAAGAATAGAACTTGTAAAATATCAAATGAACGCTGCGTACACCAAAGACGATAATAAAGTCTCCTTGTGTGAAGAAATCTTCTCACCGTAATGGCGCGTGAGTGGAATTTTGATGATTCATCGTGAATATGACGCCAGTTTGGAAATATAAAATATGACGCTGGATGAGAGTCTTGAAAACTCTTAAATTCTGTTATAAAACCTACAAGAAGGGGTTCACGTGAACAAAACTTTTTTGTTTTGTTTTAAAACTTATTCATTTAGTAATTAGAGAATTTATAGAGCTTTTATATGGTTTAGTTTATATTATATATTTTTCTGTTCTGTAATCTCTAGGTCTGCTGGAGAACTTTAAGATACATGAATATATAATCTCTAGGTCTGCTGGAGAACTTTAAGATACATGAATATATAATCTCTAGGTCTGCTGGAGAGCTTTAAGATACATGAATATATAATCTCTAGGTCTGCTGGAGAGCTTTAAGATACATGAATATATAATCTCTAGGTCTGCTGGAGAACTTTAAGATACATGAATATATAATCTCTAGGTCTGCTGGAGAGNTGTTACTTGAACTTGATGTGCATCGGGAGGATTAGGTTTAAGGTTTATCAGCCTCAATCTTTTTATTTCAAGGGATGTCTCATAATCACGAAACTTCAATTAAAGGAATTGAGTCTTTGCCGGGGCTAGGCTCAGGGTTTAATGCGGGGGAGGGGGCGTTTGGCCGAGCACCGCGGCTAGGAAGGCCGAGAGGCAGGCATATACAAATGTATAATATTTATATTTGTATTCTCGTAGAAACTAGGAGACGTGAAATAACCTTCTGAAATTACGTTTATTTCAAAATCAATTTAAATGCATACAATAAATGGAAGAAAATAGCTGGGTCTAAGAAATTTTAAGGGTTTTCTTTTTTAAATCCCGATTGAGAAAATATAACTTTACTTGTTAGTTGTCTGCAAATGAAAAGATTTCCAGAATAACATAGAAAAGTAGTAATTATGGGTAAAGTTTTTATGTTTCTCCAGAACGGGTATCCTTTTCACACCCCCTCCCACTANTCCTCTACTCAATATATATAGAGCAATCTTAGGACGTATGCTGCTAGGACGGATATAATGAATATAGAGGAGAACAGGAGAAACTAGACCAAACCTATCCTCTACTCTACTCAATTTATATAGAGCAATCTTTGGACGTATGATGCTAGGACGGATATAATGAATATAGAGGAGAACAGGAGAAACTAGACCAAACCAATCCTCTACTCAATATATATAGAGCAATCTTAGGACGTATGCTGCTAGGACGGATATAATGAATATAGAGGAGAACAGGAGAAACTAGACCAAACCTATCCTCTACTCTACTCAATTTATATAGAGCAATCTTAGGACGTATGCTGCTTGGACGGATATAATGAATATAGAGGAGAACAGGAGAAACTAGACCAAACCTAGCCTCTGCTCTAGTCTGTATAAAGAGCAATCTTTGGACGTATGCTGCTAGGAAAAATATAATGAATATATAGGAGAACAGGAAAAACTAGATTAAACATTTCAAGCAAACCTCTCCTGTATTTTAGAGGAAACCTTTCCCTTACTATACGTAGAGCAATCCTGAATACCTTTCCTTGGCAATCTTTCCTACCTTGGGTACAGCAAACCTCAATGTGATAAAAATCAAATTTTTTGTACTACAGAGCAAACATTTCTTGAGCTGAAAACTTGGTTATTGAATAGCCTTAATCTCGATATTCAGTATGGCCAATTTTGATTTTCTGCTTAATCCTCTCTTCTGGATATCCCTGCTGGGTTCCGTCCAACAAGAGTTTTCTCATTGATTGCGGGCAAAATTTCTTGGCTTCTAATTGTTTGTTCAGTTTCTGTGATCGACACTCTGATTGGTTGCATTTTAGACATTCTCCTGGTTATCAATGTAAGATTAAATTAATCTGCAGATTAATGAAAAGAGGAGATCAAGCATTGATATCTCGATATCAACAATTTTAAAGTTAAAGTTTAACTCTGTACTAACTGTAGTTACTCAAGAGGAAAAAGTTAATCCAGTTAACAATCGATCTATTTAGTTTTCATTAAGTTGGAATATTGGAATATGTACTGATTATTTGATTACATATATTTTAACACTGTATGAGGTGAAAATAAGAAAATTTCCAATTACACCATAATTAGAATGATGTTGGCCCAGGGGGGACAAAACAATAGAAGTGTTAAGTTAATTTGATAATTGACTTCTATCTTCAAGATAGAATAATTCTAAACTTCACACGGGACCACTGATCTGTCCCCTTTGGGCAACATATTTTTCGGAACTCATCGTATCAGTGGCCCTAAAGGGGGGGGGGGTGTCTATATACCCTTTTAATCCCAAACTCAAGGATAAATAAGTAAACAGTCCTGTTTGTAAACATAAACTAAAACTATTTACTTTTCTTTAACTCTGTCCAGTTTTGCGAACAAAGATCATAAAAAATCTGAGTTTGCCTTTTCATTCAACTAGTATTGTACCACTGTGCACTGTACACGTTATATTGTACTACTTGTACATAGATAAATATGACTTAAGTTTTTTTTCGTATCTGTTTTGTTGTAAACTTTTCATGGTTTATCAAATCAAGGCATATATCTAAGTATCATTTATGTTAATTTTAAAATTGCCAATTTAAAAAAAATCTAATTCAGAATAAACATAGGTTGCAAATACAGGAGATATTAGTTCCAAAACTAACACTTGGCCCATTTCCAACACTGAGTGTTAGAAATGGTCCAAGTGTTTGTTTTGGAACTAATATCCCCTGAAATTCTAATTTTTCTTTCCCTATATCTTCGAACTCTGATGTCGTAGACCTTTGACATTTCAACTATGAATTTAGGTTTATGAAATAGTCTTAAGTTCGAAAAAGTAAAGGTTCACGGCATCACGTTGCACAAAACAGGGATTAGAGTTTGTGGCATGGGTTCAGTTCCTTTGGAGGATGATTAATGTTTTTTTTTGCCCACAGCTTAATAGAAATTAAGAAGGATAAGAGTAGTTATTATGTTCAAGCTACTGAGTTGGGTCAGTAGCTTGAGACTAATGATAATTTTAACCTAATAAAGGTTGGGTTGAGCTCCAGCAAGAAATGTTAGAAGAATGATATAATTAGAGCCTCGGAAAGACCCCTGTTTAAATACCTAGCTACGTACCTGTTTTTTGCCCCGTATGTTCTGTTTCCAATCAACTGACTGCTGAGGTTACGTTACATGAATACACAAACCAAATATTGTTAGGCATCACATTGTTTGCAGGGTTGACATTGAGATTTAGCGATACCCTTTTATTTCAACCAGAGCAGGGGCAAGGTTCAGGAGAATTTTTTGTATCTTCGTTCTTACAGGTTTTTCGAGTTAGGGAGAAGAACTCTTTATCCACCGTTCTGATAGGTTCTAGATCTAAATTTGGGTTCAGGAGAACTTTTATCTACTCGTTTTTTTTGGTTCGGTAGCATTTTCATCCATCCGTCCTGCCAGGTTCAGGAGCAGTGTTCGGGTTCAGGAAAAATTTGTATCTGCTCGTTCAGGAGAGAAGATTTCAGGAACAAAGTTTGGCTCCTGGATAACGTTTTATCTGCTCGCTTTTTAGGGTTCAGGAGCATTTTTATCCCTACATCCTGCCAGGTTTATAAGCAGGCTTCTGTACAACTTTTTATCTGCAAATTCTATCGAGGA